TTGTTTTCTTTCAATCAAGGAGCCGTGTGGGATGCGCTCTCACTGCAGTCTGTTCGCATAAACACTCTTTACTACTGGTGTGAGAGGGAGGAAGGTGTATATACTTCATCCACATCTCTCTGTCTTCATGTCCGACTCCATTCAGGCGGCTGTCTATGAGTGCATGATGGGAATTTTTCACCATGTGACAAACAACAAGCAACAAACATGTTTCCCAAGCTCTCAAACAATGCATTCATGACTCATGTTGATTTTATTATTGTATTTGTATTATTATTTCATGCTTTATTTCTGGACAATAGACTTGTTGCACCACTGTTTATGTTCTAATGCATGGCGCTCTGACTCTGTTCAGTATTCAGTTTGTGCTACGTCTCCATTACTGTGACTTGATCAGCTGTTTTAGGTGGATGAGAATTTTACCTCTTCACCATCCATGCACACCACCTGAAGGCGGCTGTCCTTATATGTAACACTACTACCATTAACACATGTAGCCTAATGTTTGTAGCTGTATATGCTGTATATTGTGATTAAACTGCTGGGGTACAGAGAGTAGAAATATCACACCCAAAGGTTACTGGTATAGCGTGAGAGGTGGGTATTCCATTATTCCCACCTTTTTCTGCATCCTCATGGCAACTACACCAACACACACAGACTAACATACAATAACAGTTTCTAAAGAGCATAAAAGGAATTGAGTATAATAGAGTTTACTTGTGAGCTCTCTGTGCTTGATTACACTGCTGAGTTTCACTGTTGGTAATTAGGTAGCTATGGTGCAGAGGCCAGAATGAGACCTGTTACTATTATCTAACAGCTTGCCTTTTAATAGTCCTGCATGTTAAAGTTACCACCAGTAGAAATGCAGAGGAAATTATTACAGTCACTGTGGAAAATAACTGGAAAAAATAATGGGATGTGTTGGATGAAATGGGTTGGGTGGAAGAAAAGGTTGGTGGACACACACACACACACACACACACACACACCTCCGACCCAGCAGTAGCCTCTGTGCCTTTTTCTTTCTCATCGACCAGAGCTATTGATGTACTGAATGTTGGAAGGCTGAGTCAATAAACAAGAGGAAAAGCTTTTTGAGGGGTGACTGAAAAGAAGAGTGTATCCACATGTAGTCCATCTTTCTGTGCATTTGTGTATCTGTGTATCTGTGTGTGTGTGTGCATTCAAGTGCCTACCTGCACATTGCTCTCCCAGAATTGACTTTGTCCATGCACTGTCTCTTTCCACTCACGTCTCCTGTCCTCTCTCTAGACTCACAGAGCTGACTCGTTAATGTTTAATGCTCACTCAGGAAGCAGACACACTTTGCAAGGCTCACACGCACACACACTCACACACACCTACACACACCCCTCCTACATCCCCCTAGCGACGCCATCCTCATTACCAGCCTGAGATTTGACCTTTCACCCCTAAACCAGATGGCTGATGTTTTCATTCTGCGGGGAGAAGAAATGAAGCAGGAGTGGCTCCATATCACACAGCATCACAAGAAGAAAAGGAGGACGAGCATGTCGGAGGATGATGGCAGTGTTTGTCTATCAACAGGGGGATCAGATAGAGCAATTGCTGAATAAGGCTGGGCTACTATATAAAAAATGTTTGGATTCTAAGGGGGAAATTGTTCCTTGATTTGGACTAAACTACTAGTATGAAAGCATTCATTTCTTCAAACTTTGCTGTCTCAGGAAACTGTGACAAAGTCCAGGCTGCAGGGGGGGGGGCGGCAGGTGAGGCAGAGAGAGAGAGATAGAGAAAAAGCGTTCCAAAGAATGAATGAAGGCAGCAGCGATTGCACAGCCCTGTGTACGTGCCTGATCGCATGTTCATGCACATCTATTGGTATGACAATGGCACCCTCAGGTGGCCGGTCTATCATGGGGGTATGAGGATTTTGGTGTGCCACAAGGTTGCAGATGCATGAAATAAGATATAAGTGTATTGAAAATCAAATTCCTTTTCTGTAATCTAACCAAGATCTCAAGACAGTTCATCAAATGACTCACTGTTCCTTTTCTGCACTAAGGTGTCATTGTACCAGAATAGAGTATGCACAGCAGCATCAAATCTACCAATAGTTTTTATTTTTTACCATTTCATCCAATGGGAGCAGATGTGTGATGAGCACCACTTAGTCAAGTCGCCCCCGTAACAGAGGTGACAGCCATTTAGAGAGCTTCTGCCAACAGCACACTGCATGTGTTCACTTCACTGTTTCTCTATCTCCCTCCTCCACAGAATCTCACCATCCTTTTCCCCCTCCTCCTCGCTTTCTCCCTGTCTAACATGGACATATATATATATATTGTGAGCTATACACAGTGGAAGAGAAAGCCAGACCTGAAACTTGCGCTGCACCTGCATTTCATTTTGTCCACTGAGCAGACAAGTCAGGGGCCACAGCTGGAGAGTCTGATGGTGTGTCATGATTCAGGGTGATCCAGGGGAAAAGATGTAGCTCTGCTTATGTTAAAATCCAACCACAGTGTTGGTTAAATATGACCTGAATGGTGAGCTCACCCAGAGATGCATGTGAAGGCGGTATTTGTTAGTGTGTGTGTGCCTGCCCTCCTTTCTCTTTAATCACAGAGTGAGTGAAGCAGAACAGAGCAGAGGGTTGATTCAGGGGCCCTTCTGCTGGTCTGGCTGACTGGAGGCTGGCACCGCTGCCATCTAAATACCCTCCTATAACCAGCTCCGGATGTTTCTCTGTCTCTTTGCAGAGGATGGATTACTGGGGGTATCTCTTCATCTCAGTGTAATCATCTCCTCATATTACCACCAGGAGACCACCTGAATTCAGACAAATGAAGCTGGATTAAAACCACACACTGCTGTGAGCTCTGACGTGACTGTCTGCTGTGCTCCTCATTACACACAGCATCTTATAAAGAAGGGGAAGTGAGAGTTGCCATGTGTATGCAATGACTCACTCAGCCTCTCTTTTTTTACCGTCCTTTCTCATTTCCTTGCAACCATTTTCTGTCTTCCATTACTTCTTTTTTTTATTTTCCCATCTCAACTCTTTTCTTTCTTTTAAACATTCCTTATCTTTGTCTTTTATTGCAGCACTAATGATTTCAGGTCATTTATTCACTTGTTCACGTACCCATTGGTGCACGATTATTCAAAACCAATAAACACAGGGAAAGTTCATATTGTATATGAAAGGATTTAAATAGTAAACAAGTCTTTCACAAAGTTTCAATAGGCACTTTTTTTGTCCACATCATCATGTTTGATGTCTGTTGTAGTCATGGACATGTTTTGGCATTATACATGAATAAGATATATTTAAGATGAAAGTGAAAAGACATGCCTTGTAAATGTGTTGGTGTTCTTGGTACCTGGCAAAGTCCTTTGCATCGCCCAACAGAAGTATCGTTTATATGTCTTATATGAGCATGTGCTGACACCTGCTGGTCATATGTGGGATTACTTTATTAAAACTTGACAAGACTTGCTTTGCCTGCATATTGTGAAACTCAATTTCCACTTCCAATCTTGATGCTGCCTGCATACTGTGAAACTCAATTTCCACTTCCAATCTTAGACTTAGGTTTTATCGCGCTCGCTTGTCGTCCTCGCTGTCAGACTGCTCATCTGGCAGACTGAGTCCTAACCGTCACTGAAGAACTACCAAGAGATATCCATAGCATTTTACCATGGTAAAATTAATATCTAACAGTGTACCTCAGTGTGTTTGTAACTGATCCATGCACTCCCATAGTGCAAACAAGCAATAGGTGCAGCTACTGAGGGGCACTGCAAACTGCAGCTGTTGTACACAGGCAGTTTCAGGAGCCCAGGAATGTTGTAAAGCTTGACAGTAGCCAGGGATACTCTGAGTTTCACAAAGTCACAGCCTGGGAAAGCAGGGGGAAACAGTGAAAAATGCCATCAGGTCTGGGAAAGCAGGGGGGAAACAGTGAAAAATGCCATCAGGTCGAAATGGAATTGACATTTATCATGTTGTATCATGTTCAAATACACTGTCAATAGTATAAAAAGTATGACTTATTTGCTACTTGTGAATAGAAAGTGATGAAACTGTGAGAAGTAAGGTCCTTGTAATAAAGGCAAAAATGTTTCCACCATATTTAATTTGCCTGCAAAACGTTTTGTTCTAATGCAAAACTTCACTGTAAATACAATTCATGTATGGATTTGTGCTATAGCTAGTTGCTATAGTTTTACACAATTTTCCATTATAATAAAACCATTTGTGTGGAGAAATGCGTCCTCTGGCGAAGTGGAGGACTAGTATTTGTGATACCTTCAGCACTGCTGTAAATATTAAACCTATCACTAAGGTGTCATAAACAACCGAAAAACTATAAATTGGACTGGGAAATGTTTACGTGTTCGTTATTATTTATTATTATATCAGTCTTGGTAAATGGCTTTTGTGCTCCACATTCATGGAAAATGTTTAATGAAACATGGTGGATATGCCGGGATGTAGTGAATTTTCATCAGTAGACAACTAGCTACCAAAGTGTCTGTCAAATAATAATAATTGTCAAGTATAAGCTAGAAAGTGTTGGAATGTCGTTACTCTTCATTAATACATTTATTAATAGTAAATGTAGCCTACAGTAGGTCTAGGTTACCTTTATGTCAAGCGTTAATTAGACTACTACGAGGTCCTGCCTAAAGAAAGCGAGGATTACGAGCAGTAAGTGAAGGCCTCATAGGATCCCATTTTTTTAGGAGGGCTGATGTCATTTCAAAACTTAGTTCCAAGTCAGCGCGGCGAGGTGTTCACCTCTTCCCTGGTAAAGTCCTCCCTCATGTCCGGTGGAGCACGTTAAAACACTTCAGGAGAGGCGTCTCATCAGAGAAAAACACTAAATTCTCTAGGAGAGAGGAGCAAGAGGATCTTATCCGTAAACCCCGGTACTAGAATAGAGCCCCTCGTCCTGCGGGCAAAGGCGACTGAACTTTTTTTTTTTTTTTTTTTTTTATTCAAGCGCAAAAAAAAAGGAGCTTCAATAAGTCGCAACCTCTGCGAAATGTGAATTGTAACGCCGTAGAAGTGAAAAGCAAGGTGAGTGATAACGAGGGGAAACGGACCTTTGTCCGTTCTGATTGTGGGATTGGAGAGAAATTAAAGAGTTCACATGGTCGTCCCGTAACAGTGCTGGAGTTGGAAGGGCCACACTGTCTGCAGCAAATCAACGACTTCTTCCCCTTTCAGGGACAAAACTCTTATCTTGTTCGCGAAACAGGATCTGAACGCCCCGTTTTCTGAATGTTTCTGTAATCTGCACTGATTATTCTCCTCTTCAGACTGTGCAGATTGTACTGATTTGGCTCCTCACTGTCCGGAAGCTGCCGGGGGGCTGGGGGGGGGGGGGGG